CATGTAACCCACATATTTTCGTTTGTCAGCTTTGATGCTCTTCTTCACTTCCCTGTTTGCTTCTGTGTATGCAGCTTGTGCGGTAACTTTCTCTGCTCTTTTTCGGCTGACATTCACTGCTGCCTTCTTGTTCCTCCTTTCTTCAATTTTTGCAAGAGTACCAACAGAGATCCATTCCTTGTGATGGTGCTTCTTGCGATCAAGGACCTCCTGACATGTTGAAGTGACTGCCTCCTTAATCCCTTTCCAATTGTTCTCCAATGTTGCTTCCTCTCCATTGAGTAGATCCTGAAAGGCCTGGAACCTATTGGTGAGGGCTATCTTGAATTCGTTGAGTTTTACGGTACCCCGAAGAAAGGCCGTATTAAACTTGTGTGATGTTGTCTGTTCCGTTATCCAGTGTTTCTTGAGTTTCAGTCTCATTTTGGCGATCAGCAAGTGGTGATCTGAAGCTATATCAGCTCCTCTCTTGGTTCTCACATCCTCCATGGTCCATGGTCAATTTGGTTCTGAGTAGTGTGATCCGGTGAAATCGATGTAGCTTTGTGTATGCGTTTGTGTGGGAATATTGTGCCACCGATGACCAGTTTGTTGACGGCACAGAGGTTTGCAAATCTCTCACCATTTTCATTCCTTTCTCACAGTCCATGTCTTCCTATGATGTCTTCATAAAGTTTGCATTTTGATCTCCCATCAGAATGGTCAAATCCTTTGGTAAGCATCCGTCGATGATTAACGTCGTCACTGTAGTCATTGGTAGGTGCATAACATTGGATGACGTTCATTGTAATGTCCTGTTTCTTTGTTTTGAAGGATGCTTTAATGATCCTCGGTCCATGAGATTCCCATCCTATCAGTGCCTTTTGTGCATGTTTGGACAGCATCAGTGCAACTCCTTGTGTATGTGAAGCGTTTTCCTCTTCATGACCAGAGTATAACAGCAGTTCCCCTGAAGTTAGTCTCAGTTGTCCTACTTGTGTCCAATGCGTTTCACCGATTCCAAGCACCGCGAGGTTGTATCGTTTCATTTCTGCCGCAACTTGAAATAGTCTTCCAGTCTCCCACAATGTACGAACGTTCCATGTACCTAAAAAAATGGTTGCTCTGGTTGTCAGAAGAGGCATCGGCCCCGTGACTTCCGAGGGAACTCGGCTTTCATCACGAGACTTCATAATTCTTCTTCCGACTCCCAGGGCAGAGTTAAAATGGTTTGAATTATTTTTTCTGGTTAGCGTTTTTTTGGCAAGTGAGATTTCAACGGAATGGGGTCGCCAACCCCAACCCATGAAGTACAATAACTAAAATTAAAAACCGGATATTTAAGTATTCCCTCACAGCTACTAAAAATAATGGTCAGAACACAAGTTACCTAATAATAAAAAATTAGCAGAACATAGACTCAGCTGTTTAAAGGTAGACTTGTCAGGGATGCGAAGCTGTTTCAAGACTATGTGAATACTATGGCACGATATATAGGAAAGGATTACGCCGAGAAGGTAGATGATAAAGACTCTAATGGACGAATATGGTATCTTCCTCATCACCCTGTCTTTCATCCCGAGAAGCCCGATAAGTTAAGAATAGTGTTCGATTGCGCGGCTCAGTATGCTGGGACGTCTCTAAATAAAAATCTTTATTCTGGGCCTGATCTAGTTAATAACTTAGTAGACGTCTTCAGCAGGTTTCGGCTACGACCAATAGACCTTACGGCAGACATCGAAGCCATGTTCCATCAAGTAATGGTCCCGATACACGACCGAGACGCTCTTAGGTATTTGTGGTGGCCAGGTGGAAATTTGGAGAAAGAGCCAGAGGTCTATAGAATGAAAGTCCATCTGTTCGGAGCAACCTCATCACCATGTTGCGCCACGTTTGCCCTGCAAAACACGATTTCCGATAACCAAGATAAATTCCCCCAAGTGGTTACGCAAGCAGCTAAGAAACAGTTTTATGTGGACGATTTATTGATAAGCGTGGATACTATAGAAGAAGCTAAACTGACTTATTCGTATTTCAGAAGACTCTTAAGTCTGGGAGGATTTAACTTAACTAAATGGACGAGCAACAACCTTGAAGTGCTGGAGTTCATTCCGGAGAATGATCGTACTGAAGGAAGCATTGCCGTCTGCGAATCAAACGAGATGAGTAAACGAACGCTGGGGTTAGAGTGGAACACTAGAACAGATGAATTATGTTTCAAAGTTCACGAGTTTCATGGAAACCTAACCAGAAGAAATATTTTGTCGTACGTAGCATCTATATTTGATCCCATTGGGTTCGTAGCCCCCGCAATACTACCAGCTAAAATAATCCTTCAAGACACTTGTCGGCAGAAATTAGACTGGGACGCAGAGCTACCCATAGATTGTCAAGCGAAGTGGAATGTTTGGTGTAGACATATAAAGGAGTTGGGTCACTTAAGAATACCAAGATGTCTAAAACCAAAGTTTGAACCACTATCCGCTCAAATTCATTGTTTTGCCGATGCTTCAGAGCTTGCGTATGGTGCTGTTACGTATATTCGATATGAAGGCGCTTCAGGCCAGTCTCACTGCTCGTTTCTACTAGCTAAATCTAGGGTCGCTCCTCTAAGACTTGTCACTATGCCCAGAATGGAATTAACGGCGGCCGTACTATGTGCTAAAATTGGAAAACATGTGGAACAACAACTGCGTATCACTATCTCCTCTGTCACTTATTGGACGGATTAATTAATTGTATACCATTACATAAGAAATACAACCAAAAGATTTGAGAGATTCGTGAACACCAGGTTAGCAACGATTCATGAACTTTCTACGGTAAAGCAATGGAGATACGTTAAAGGTATACATAACCCTGCGGATTATGCTTCACGTGGTTTGTCGTCAGACGATAGCATCAAACTAAATGAGTGGTTCCGTAGACCGGAATTTTTATGGCAAGACGAAAGTTATTGGCCGACTCCACCCGAAGAAGAGAAACATGTTTTAGCTCACTTGTCGATAGAAGAACTAGGCGAGACATCAACGAAGAGTTGCTCAGACCAATTTTTGAATAGATTTAGTGATTGTAAGACATGGTTCAGAATGATGAGAATATTCGCTTTATGTAAACGGTTCGCCCGTAATATGAGGATGAAGTTAGACAGAAGACCATTAGTTTATGGTAGGTTGAGACTGGAAGAAATCGATAGCGCGAAACAGGATATAATCAAATTGGTTCAACTGGTCTCATTCCCTATGGAGATGGAAGCACTAAAGCAAATACAGCATGATAAAGAGAGCGGCAACAAATATGAATCTGGAGAAAGACCGACGAAAGTAGATGGATTTGCTTCGAATAAGGAAATGATACCCCAGTTAATATCTGCTAGTAAAAGAATGAGAGGTAACATTACGCGCGGAGGCCCGATAAAAAATCTTAATCCCTTCGTAATAGATAACATGATTAGAGTAGGAGGACGACTTCAGCTATCGTGCTTACCTTTCGAAAGCAAACATCCACTCATACTTCCTAATAAGCACTTTGTTACCAATCTAATCGTAATGCACTTCCATCAACAGAACGCACATTCTGGTATTACTCATACCGTGAACAGTCTTCGCGAAGAGTCCTGGATGATTGAAGCTCAAAAATTGGCTGATCTATTCTGGAGTAGATGGCTACGGAACCTATGCCTACTAGAGGAAGCTGACTACTTGAACGCCGCGATAACGAGGTCTGGACGTGGTGAACGCTTCGAAGAGAGTGTTAGTTATTTTATGACTAATTGTAGTTATGTCATAACTAACCAATCAGATTGGTCAAGCGCTCACCACGTCATCTAGTCTGACTGATGTATAAACCTTCTTTGTTGTGAATGGTCCATCATTGTACATAGTGCAATAATTTGCATTAAATATGGTTGCGTTTGTGAAATTTTGATCTAGTCTGGGAAATGGCATGCCGATTGCAGCATAATGATATTTGAGAAGAAATATATATATTTATTTTGAAATATCATAGGCTACATGCCAGACACTATCAGTGTCTGTTGGTCATCAACTCCACACTCCAACCATTCGTATTATTAGGCTCATGTACAATGATCCTAAGATAATATTTTATCAATTACTTGAGGCTCTATGTTTCACATCCTGTTGAGAAACACTATTTCTGCAAGTTCCTTTCGCCAGCCTGTTCGGCCGTTACAAATGACAAACTGTCAACTGTATTGTATTGATGCACAACCAATATAAAGTACACTGAGCTATATGAAGGCCACACAAAACGGAAAGTTGTTGAGTCCAGTCCAGTTGAAGGAAAAGTACAGTAAAACAATCACTGGTAAAATTGTTGATAATAATAAATGTTTCTGTTAAACCATTCGCGTCCAATTCATAAATGTTGAGTCACTACAAGGTTTTTAGCCATGCGAACCAATATCAAAGGGAATGTATCTCAGTCGATACTTTGAATTAGATTCAAGAAAGAAAGAACAGCATTGGAGCAATCGAATTTTGCCTAATACGATCAGAGCAAACCAAGGTACAAGCTGAATTAACAGAAGCAAACAAGCAAGTAAGGAGGAGCGTCAGAGCTGACCAGCGAAAGTGTGTGGAAGACAAGCAATGTTTGTAGGAAAAGCTGCCACAGAGTAAACAGTAGATAGCTATAGGATATAATGGAGAAGCTGACTGGAAAATATAGTGAACCATAACTTCCAATCAAGAATAATGAAGACAAGACAATAACCGATATCTATGGACAGTAAGACGGATCAGTAGCGCACTTTCACAAACTTTTGAATAGAGCAGTAACACTAAACTAACTTAAAATCAAAGCAGCACCCACAAACATGCCAAATGTTGTTAACCTACTAGCGATAGGAGAAGTCAACATGACCGTCAGGGAAATCACGAGCAAAAAAAGTAAAACCACAAGTTGAGCATTTTACTTAATATCAGCTTGTCACAAAAATATTGAATACTGGACTTTAACCAATGGTGAAGAAACCCCGCAACATACAAACTTACTATGTTGCTGGTCAGAATGTTGTCGTTACCCACCCCTAATCTCGATTTCTGGATGTTCTTGTTCTGAGGCTTGCGTTGTTGTTGATTGTTTCTTATTGCTACCCTTATTGAATGTAAGTGCATTTTGTGCGTGTATTGGAGAGTCGGCTCCGTTCTTTTATTTCTCTTTTCCAGTTTTCTTCACTCACGCTATTATACATGCTCTCCTAGTACGTAGCATACATTCTGGCTAGACCAAAACCGCTACAATCACGACACATCCTACAGTTTTCTGACCATTATTTTTAGTAGCTGTGAGGGAATACTTAAATATCCGGTTTTTAATTTTAGTTAGTGTACTTCATAATATGGTATTCGTAAGGTGCGTGTAGGCGTACAACCATTCATGAAGCCATAGTGGTTGCAGTCACTTCCCTGATTTCAGATGCGCTCAAAACAAAGTTACCGATTCCTTTGTTAATTTAAAAGCCTAATACAATCATAGCATTTGAACTCTGAGATTTCTCAGGTCGGGATTTTTGCTGTGAATTAGTCAAATTCATCTCCTAATAATGTGAATATGTACGCTATTTTAGTTTAGACAATTACCTACAGTCCAACTTATGCAATTTTAAATTTCCAATATCCTTCTCACCAGCTAGTATAAACCAATTGACTTATTTGTGCTCGATTCTTGTTCTTTCTGTACAGTTCCACTCTTAAACGAGACAGAATTAGGGTTTCAAAACAGACTGCGTTTTGAGCAAGATATAAGTAATGCCATAGTCTTCACTATAATCTTTCCGACACACATATTTAGTAAAACTTGTCATCATCATACGAAAACTTTTACGATGGATTCACCTGCGAAATCGTGCATGTAGGACAGCTCAAAACTCATCCCAAGTGATGACTTGTTTCAGGAAAGGTTGTATACCCTCATTTTTTCTCTTTCCTCCGGTGGTTGAATGTATGGCAAAAACCTCAACATCTCAAGGAAGGCAAAGGATGCAGCTGGACGATTCGAACTTCTCAGATCGCCTAGCTCTTCTATCCCACACACAGTGACAAATACAGGAGATAGCAATTATACGGAAGACTAACCCTTGAGGATATTTTTCAACAATGGAAAATAGTGGTATGTGTGAGTGAATACTGTAACTGAATGCCTAAAAAAGATATTAAACAAGCCTAACCTTATTGTAACTGGTTCTGAGCCGTATTATTCAATGTCTCCAACTATTGATCGCTGTATGCTACATTATTCACTGTGTCTTAGACCAGCAGTTGGTGGTTTTATGAGTTATTCCCAGGTCTGCGTTAGGTAGCCTTTAGCTTTTTTGTGTCTGAGCCCTTCTCCAACCAACACTGCACGTCAAGACAGGTAGTGGTTGAGCATGAATAAGACATGTCCCAACCACCTTAGTTGCTAACTATTCACAAGCTTGCGACATTTATCTAGTGATCTATGCTTAAAGGCAACATTGCTCACCCAGTATTCACGCAAAACGCGACCGAGGCTTCGAAGACATGAACGAACCACACTAATGCCATAAATTAACATGGAGTAGACTACTGTGGGATGTACTAGTCTTTTTGCTGGCAGATAGCTATCTCGCCAACACCACAAGTGACGCAAGTCGGTATGCCCCAATAGATATTCCTGAATCCATACAACGTGACTGCAAAAACTGGGTAACTATTCGGAAAGTACTCTGTATTTAACGCATCTAGTCCCATTCTCAAACCTTACTGAGTTAGTGGAGTGTGAAGAAAGCCTGGTTACAGAGCCTTAAAATCAACCTCATCATTTAGCTTCATACTAGTCAAGGGCCAGTAAGCTAGCTCAGATTGATATATTTAAATATGGATATCCGAAAATTAGAATCACAAAATAGCACCCATACAAGCATAATGCTAAATAAATGTAATGTGCAATGATTTTGTATAGCACTTATATGCATGTTTACTTATAGAGTATTTTATACATATATTATATTATTTGATAAATTTGTGTATTTCCCTATATAAATACGATTTAGTTCCAGACAAATCAACAGATTCAATGCCATGACGGTCTGTACTAATGGACAAGTTATACTAGAAGAAAAATATCGACACCGCAGATTCACGAAATCAGAAGTGGTAGACTACGCCAAATGGCTGGGAATCAATCTAAAACAAGAACCAGAATTATATTCCTTAGTATTTGAAGGAATTAAGGCCCCACTTCCAGTTGGTTGGAAACCCTGTATGAATACTAGTGGAGAGATATACTACTTTAATTTTTTCACAGGTCAATCTACTTGGGACCATCCTTGTGATGTTTATTACAAGCATAAGGTACTAGAATATAGGAAAAATAAAAGGCACACAAACGTAACTGAGAGAAAACAAAAGTACTCTAAAAAGGCACTCCATAAAAAGACTTGGGATACTTATCATGGAATTAAGCTGCTTCACATAGAAGCATTTAGTAAACCAACCAGCAACCTGACACAGAACAATGGAACTCCAATGAGTAATAATTATCATTATCATAATCTACAGCTTCTCAATGAACAATCAGATTTTCGAAATGTAGATGGTAAAAAATATGAACCTTTAGTTAGCAAACTCAAGCCACTTGAAAATAGCAGTGACCAACCTAAAAAAAGCACAGGTGTCCAATATGAATCACCATATGAAGTGCAAACAATTCCCAGCAAGGAGACTCGTGAAAATGCTAACGCTCAGACAACATTGACATTGGTTAACCAAGTCGATGCAAACCTGAACATTTCATTATTAAGTAGTTCCGAGAATCTTACTAACAGTATAAAACCCAAAACACCAAATGTGTCTAAATCGCATGAAGTTTCTGAAACCACGGAAGACGAACTAAACTCAATCCACTACCATAAAACAACAAACAACAAGAACACATCAACAGACTTCCTGGTATACAAACAACCAGAAGAATCGACAAATAGTAAATCTATCGACAAAATCAACAACAATAGTCCAATCAATAACCATTTACAAACCAATATAGGCATGGACTGCGTAACCGAATTGTTAAGGCAAATGGAACAAAATCATGAGGAAGTGCTGGGAGCAAGTTACAAGTTATGTTCAATGCAAAAAGAGCTAGTTAACTGGTGTAGTGAAATCGAACAACGCCTATATAGCATTGATAGCAAATATAGGATTATTTTTTGTCAGGATAGGATATTAAGTCGAAACAATAATCTACGTATATTTTTAGGACCACGTGAAATCGGTCAACAGGATTATATTCACACTAGTGTATGCAAAAAAGCTACACCTAATGAATGTCCTCCACATAACTCATACAGTTCTCACTTGCCAGTTAATAAAGAAAGAAGACGACCACATTCTGGCGATGATCACCTATTGAGGAGTGAAAAAAACAGTTATACGGAAACAAGACCAAATACAATAGACACGAACTCTTTATTATCTAAAACAGCCCAGATTGAAAACCTTGTTTCTATCAGCAATTCTAAATCACAAAATCTAGTGAAACACCTATCAGTAGTCGATCTGTCGAAACTACGACATACTATCACTGATGGTAACAGATTACCTAGTGATTGGACCACAATGCAAACAAAATCATACTATAGAAGGTTTCTTGATTCACCAAAAAATCTCCCACAAGACGTGATAAATCAACAACTTGAAGATTATTCGAGATGGCTAGAGCAAGCTGAAGCATACATGAAAACTTTACGATCTGTTTGAATATTATTCAAACATCAGCATAAGTCCAGTTAAACTGTGTACAATGATGTTGCTCATACTACTATTTGGTTAAGCTTTACAAACAATAACGACAACATTCTGAATATTAAATGCTTCGAATTATTCGCCATTGTATACAAATGTCTGACTAGATGTCCAATAAACCCATTATAAGATTTACTGTTCGTTTTTAAAGTTTCCCCAGATTTCTTCGACGTCTTATAGCCTCTGTGTAGTCAGCGGTTCGCAGTATTGGTTGGACAGTTAGCTCATACCCAATAAGTGATTAGACGAGCATATGGCAAAACAATGAGTCTACTATTACTTGCTGAAATAAAAATAAGGGTGTCATGTTAGCCCCCGAATGCCCTGGTATGGTCGAGAGTTCAACCTTTCTCTCGAAATGCTCTCATATGGCCGTGCGTATATGGCCACTCCCAGGTAGTCCTACTCACTGCGTTATCGTGGAAGGGGCGTCCAAACGGGGTTGGTGGGCACCATGGATAAAACTAGGGGAGTTGGAAAATCGTGATTCCGAACTAATGGTGCATATGGGCACTAGGACCATGAAGGAAAAAATGGCGTATGAACCTTCCGTTCGTCTCAGGGTACCTGGGACAGCCTCCTTCACTGCTATCTCCGAAATGTAGCGAATTCCAACAGTGTATGATACCCAAACTCAATTGTTTTGTTAACTACTTTTTCGGGCTGAGAGAGTAAGTCGTCTGTATGTGAAAAGCACCTTAACACTATCAAGAGTGGTACGACTCGGCGATGTAAACTTGTGCGCTACCGGCTGAAATGCAAACGGAGAGACATCGGATTGTTTGTAGAATACTCGAGCTTATAATGTGCAGTGGGTGACTTTTTCCTGTCTAAATTTAAATCCTAGTCAAAAGGTGTAAACATCTTATAGTAGATGTCTATAATCCACCGTCTATTAATTGTGGAAACTTAGAATTAGGGCTGTAAAATCATTGTTTGATTACAGACTGTTATAAATTGCAATATCTCTAGGTTTATTCTATGAAATAAGAGAACCTAACAGATATGAACTCCTACAATCCTAATCTGACTTGGACTTAGTCTTCATGCACGATGATAATGCCAATGAAATAAAGTCCTTTTGACATAGGCGAGAAGTGTTCATATGGCCATCCTATTCAATTCCACTATGAATAAGGTTGTATAAACAAGTGCACTGGTTCTTCTTTATATATGGAAGGCAGGCATGAGGGCGATCAACTTTGCGGACTCGACCGAAAACTGGGGAATCGACAGCGGCGCATTGTTGAAAGCATGGACCCAACTCAGGCAATTATAAAATCAAGTAACTCAACCATTTATATCTTGGACAGTCTCAAACGTGTAGAATCATGGCCATCCCTGGATGGACAAGGAGATAAGACGTTCAACAAGGCAAAAGAAGCAATAGTGGGACATCACTCTCAGTCTTTGCACAACAAATATGATACGTTACAGATCAATCCAAAATAAGTGTGTAGGCAGAATTCAGTCACCAGGGAAGAGATGAATGACAGTTGGTACAATCTGTTATCGAGGAGCTACAGAAACTGTCCTTGCACATCATATTCGGAACGAGAACACACTGAATTTTCGACCTAATTGTGGGAGATGATGCATCTCATATTAGAAAAGGAAACCAAAGCAGAAACCAAGGTGGACTATTTTGGAACAGTTTTCATTCAGGAACCTATTCTAGACAAAGTACTAGACCCAAGCACAAAATTTCGGAACCGGTTACTCACTTTTCACATTGATCAAAATGACGTTCAGAGGACCCTATGCATTTTAAAAATGGAAAATTAACTGAGTTGGATCGATAGAGTTGCTAGATAATTGAAAATCAGTGAATTTTGCCCACATAAACACCAACAATGTATTTGATAAGGTGACGAATAATGCAGATTGCCGGACCTCTTCTTAAGTGGATCAAAAACTTTTCGGTAGGTCGAAGTTAGAGAGTGAGAACAAATTCTAAATGCTCCTCCTGAAAACCAGTACATAGCGAAACACCGCGATACTGTATTCTAGGTCCTTTATTTTTTTGTTATTTGTTAGTGAATTCCCGAACACTGTTGAGTCCTCCATACTAATTTACGCTGATGTTATATGGATGTGTAAGAAGTAAAGGAGATGTAGACACATGTGCAATTTAGGCTAAAACCTTCTGGTAAGCTGGCCTCAAACACTACTGGAGCCTATGAACGTGACTAGAGTTGTCTTCATGTAAATGCACAGCATTGGAAAGGGCTCGGTGCCTGCAGTTCGGTCTCAAAATGATTTCAGGTTTTCATTAGAGAATACTAACAAATGATTTTGGACTTGATGTATCTCCTGATGATGTCACGGATAACCAGAGTTGTATAGTGCTTTGGTCTGCAACACCTTACAGATAGGGAATACCAAAATTAACTCAAAATAAAAGTTAGGAGTAAAGATCAAAAGTATATTTTAAAGGATAGTTGGGATGACAGTAATTGACTGACGGCTTCAATAATTTGTGTAGAATATCAATATTTAGGTGTCTCTTTTATACCAGTAGTTGTTGTGTTCAAAAGAATGAATAAATAACTAAGCTCTTGCCTGTTGATATTTATTAACAAGAAATATTTGAAGTCCCAACTAAATTGACGTTCCGTTGGAGACCCGAACTAACATAAGAGAAGGCACAGTGGTGTAAGATTAATTTTGCCAGGCTTTATACTTCACATTTATGCTAGCGTAATCGAACAAAAGCTATACTTGCATAAGTATTACGAATTTCCATACAATCTATTAAGCAATCGCATTGTTTATTCAAGAGGCAGTTTAAACACAGCATTCATTCTCCTTGTTTCATTACACAAAGACGCAACTAAATCTTACCTATTCCCATCAATGATACATCAAATCTCGATTTTGACGGATAACTAATTGCAAACTGATGGTACTACTACACACTGCATTTGTGAGAAATTTGAAATATAGCTTTTTGATGGTTTTAAAAGTGGAAATATTTAAATCAAAGTATTTATTTCATTTTCTGACTTACAGAATATAAAAGTAAGACCGGTGCATATAAGGAAACGATCGAGATCTTATTAAGACTAAAAGGTTTTAATGCGAATGCATTGGATACAATGGAACGCCAATGTTCATGACTCAATAGTTTACAATCTCGATGAACAATCACTGAGTCGTATGTTTGGACCTACTCGATTGGATTCCGTCTACAAACGCAGGTACTGATTCTAATCTCTGAAATAATTGGATCCTAGTACAGAAACTTGCAGTCAGTCAGGAGTGTAAAAGTTGGCACATATGTACATCGGTACATGTTTTCACATCCAGTCAGCACAGTGAGATAAAAATGTCAGGGGTAGAAAAACTATTGGTGATAATACAAACGACTAGACATCGAGTATACGATTCTAGAAGAATACATAGATTTATCAAATGAAAAATAATTATAAGTATATTTGGGAACTGGAAATAAACGAATGAATATGAATAAATATTAAATGCACCTGCGCAGATACAATGTCAGTCAGTTACAACATAGAACTTCGTAAGTACGTACTTAAGTTCAGGTTGCCACATCAAATTAGTACAGAGACACAATGGTTAGTTCAAATCACACAGTGGTAGAGATGGTAGAAGCATTAGCAGTAATCGGAGAGATTAGTGTTCGAAGATATTATTCAAGAAGTATAATCTAGTGTGACAAACTTAAAAACTTGACAGAACATGAGGAGTGGATGCACCTGCACGATTGCAAACAGTTTTGATCCATGTCATTCAAGATCTCTAACCACCGATTACTATCATCTCACGGACCTCAGCCAGGTAGTCTACACTTATAAACATGACACAATCCACTTGTCAGTGACTTCATGGATTTCTGCCATGTTTTGGTTTGGCCGCCCCTAACTTTCTCCCAACCTACTCCTACGCCACAAAACATCTCTCGACGATGCAGTCGGTGGTTTGGCATTCGTAACACATGTCCCAACCACCTCAACTGATGAAGTTTCAATACTTCATCTATTGATCTGCCATCCCTACCTAGTACTTGTTTCCTAACAATAGCATTGCTTACTCGGCTGTCCCAGGATATACGAGCAATGCTTCGAAGATATCTATAATCAAATACTAATAACCTACGAATGTCTACTACTCTTACCGGCGATGTTTCGGATTCATATAGTGGGATGGAGAGAATTGCTGCGCAGGAGACTCGTCCTTAGGTTAGCAAACAGGTATCTCGCCTACACCATAACCATTACAATGTCGAGCAATATCATCCAAGGTCTCTAACCATTGGTCATGATAATCACGCGGATTTCAACCAGGTTGTCTGCACACACCTAAAGGACAGACCAATGATCAATGTCTTCGTTGATTGATGCTATATTCTGGTTTGGCCTCCGTCTGGTCACTTGGATATGCGATTGGATCGGAATACCGATATTTTCTGGGAAAGTCCTACAATGCACCATAAAATATTCAATTTTGACTATCGTTTTTCTGCTTTGACAGACAGAAAACTCATCCGCAATTTTTAATATCCACACTGCAGTAAGAGTAAGGCATATTTTTATTAATTCTGTATTTCAAAAATAAAGGTCTGAAATGTGCAGATTAGATTCTGCATTAAAATAGACTAGACAAAAGTATGAGGTGGTAATGAGAACTTCTTGTCAATGTATCACATTGTTGCTTCATCTAATCTTTCCGCAGCTGCCAAATTTATTAAAAGATAACTTGCAATAGACTGAAATTTATCACGCAAAGTCCATACATCATCTAAGCGACCACGCGAAGGGAAATCTGATTGAGATTTATTACGTTTTGCACGATGTCTTATAGCAAGTTGTTTGAGCAAAGAGCGAAAATGTTGAGATGTGATACTTCTATGTACAGTATTTGCGTTATTGTGAATATTTGACGTAGCAGAGTCATTATTTTCGTTCAAAAGAGCTTTAAAATGTATTGACAAATATTCACTTGTCACATTGTTCGAACTACTAAGTGTTCGAATAAGTTCAGCACAAAGACGCTGCATTGAATGATATAACATAGCATCAGCTGATTCTGAATTAGATGAACTGTGTAAATGATTATGTCGAACGATTTTACGCGAACGTATGAGACTTAAAAGTAATTCTGAACTGAATCTAACATGTAAATTAGCTGAATTTTCACAATAAGCTTTCTTAGTTGAACCTTCAAAGTTATTTGATACTTGTAAAAGTTGAATCTAAAAATTAGAATAAATAAATTTTCTTGAAAATTGTATAAATCTAATATATACGAGTGGAATAATGTAAATAATCTAATATTCACTTGACATTTCACATTCGAACGACTTATGGATATGGAGATGCAAATAACAAGGCTGGACTTGACAGTTTCAAATAAATTGAACATTGTGCGAAAAAGTTTTGTATTAATAAAATAATTACCATTCTTAGTGATATCCCAATGAGTAGGAATTTGGAATCAAACTACCTTAAGTTGGCAATACTAAAATATTTTGTGAACTGACAGAGATTTATCTACTTTGAAAATTCACCTTTAAACCATATTGTTTCTACTGATAAATTAGTCTACAACTATTAGAATTTAGATTAATTTCAAATCAATAATTCGTAATTTCAAACTTTTCAATATAATTCTTATGAATTAACGTAATCTAAACAGCTTTTAGTAGGCCTTATTCAAAATAGAACGGCCAAGAATCTTATAGATAAACATAAGCTTTGTTTAAATAATGGAAAAACTCGTTGGTGAGATGTTTTTACTTGTTATCGTTACTAGTTACAAGTGCTTGGAGAGTCAAATCTACAACATGATGGTTTGTTGTCCAAATAGAATCCAAATATTAATGATACGATGAGACTATACAGCGTACATAAATAAAGTGCTGAAATTACCTAAATTGATTTAACAATCTGCAAACAGCCAATGAATCTAAAGTGTTACGAATGTGATTCGCAACCTATCCTCAGAAAACTATGAATAATTAGATAAGGGCAATATTTATTTATACTATCCCACTCAACGTATCAGCATTACTTATAATTACTGAAGTTACTAGTATATTCATAAGATGAAAACACGAGTACTAAAATTAAAAAGTCAGTCTGTTACTGTCCTAATTTAGAGTCTTTTTAATTAAAAGTATTCTACTCTAATTATTAGCTATAAAATATAGAATAACAAACAAATAAGAACATTTGAACAGCCTAACTCAAAGAGTTTTTTTTAACTCTTAGTTCTAATTAGTATGGAATAAGCATGATTAAATATTCCACTTTGAAAGATCCCATTACTGTATGTAAACTTACATAACCACGACTAGTCGATTCATTTCGATTCCAAAGGAAACGATTTTTAGCCTGACCAAAAGGATAAAGTACTACTCTATGTTGAATCATTTCTGTAGTTTGAGAAAAAGACCTGAAATTAGATTGCTGCCAACGCTTGACTTCTTCTTCTAAAGCAATAATAGCTTTGTTTGCTAATCGATTTGCAGCCAGTTGATCAAACGAAACATCAACATGATTCGGATTAGTCATTTCATCGAGAAATTTATCATGCTGTATAATTTGAGTTATTTGAGGAAGTATCGGTGTACTGCTAATAGAAATCGATGATCTATGAGACGGTGAACGAGAATTGTGATGATTCGTATGTTTAGTTTTCAAAGATTTTCTATGTCTTGCCTTTACGGTATTATCTAGGGGGGAGATAAAAGAAAAATCATGAGACAGATACTAAAGGTTTTTCTAATACAGTAAAAAAGTGTAACGAAAGTATTATGAATGAATCATAGTTAGATCATCATTAGAAACCTAGAGTGGTGGTCTAACATTCATGATTTCTATGTAAAAAGACGATCTCCATAATTCTATAATGCAAAAAGTATTATAGTAAACCAGTCAGTCATGGACAACACAACCTGGTACAATTCTGCGTGGGTTTAATTTATCTTGAAACAAGTAAATCAGTTGATAACTTTGTAAACTATTTATCAATGATGGTAACTGCACTATACTCTCTGTCAGCTGACCATACTATCTTAGGTAATCTGGAGGTAACTTTATAATAAACGATCAAAACTGAACCCAACTTAGGTCACTTAATGTTTATCGTTTTTACCTTAGTAGAGGTCCCAAAAACGGTTGAAATCAGAAGTTGAAAACTACAGATGTATTAACTTTTATAGTATTTCAAATAACGTACTACTCCACTCCTTTTATCTAAATTAGTAATTTTGAGTTCCATTGGTGGTTAATAGTGAAATCCAGGACGTGTATTTCATCGGCTGATGAATGCACCTGCATCCCAGGGTTGACATTTGCTCCAGAATATCGATTTAGTACTGTTCGTTTCAAGTGCTAACACTTCATCACATGTATTGCATGTTTAAAGGTTCCCTTCGCGGTTTACGATTTCAATTAATAAGTCTCTTTTGGTATATGTTTATCTTATGTGAATGGCCTCGATATTGTCTCTAAGACAATCCATACAGAATGTATGTATGCCAAGAGTGACCGAATGCTCACCCATAAATTTTTTATTTACCTGCCATTCTTTATCTAAAAATTCTACTTTTCTGATGTTTCTACCACTAATTTTTATTTGTTTATTTTATGCAAAATAACTACATCTTCCTGACGGTATCGATTAGCATACTATCCTAACTTGTCACAACCAAACAACAATAATTTGTCCCTTCGAAAGATTTAGATAATGAGATGGGAGGAGGAAGTTCTTGAGAACTCTGTGATAAACTAGCACAATACATTTCAAATAATCTGATAGCACATCTTCCTGTTAGGACATTTAGAGATGTGAAAAAAAGTAAACATCTCAAAGCATACATTTTAGGTTAAACTTTTCAGATGCCTAACAACACCTACCTTTATTTCGTTGAGATAACTCTCTACATTCTGTTTTATGAGATATGTGATATTTCTGAATATTTTTCAAAGCTTCGTTTGCAACTCGACTTGCTTCATCACGAATATCTTGATCTATCTTTGATCGTTTCTCTTTAAAGGAAGTAAGCGTAGAGTAGTTTTGTTTATCGTTAGATGAATAATTTCTACTTGAACAAGCACTGAATAAGACATTTTGGATGAAATTATCATCTTCAACATTACTGCTTTTGCCTTTGAGTGGTTCAGCAAGTTGATTTCGAGATATAGAGATATCCATGCCTTCACCAACATCATACTTACACCGTTTTGCTACTAACTTGATTCGTTTTCCATCCACCCGTGTTCCTTTAGTATCAGATTTACGTTTACGACTTACAGTATTTTTATTCGAAGGTATTTCTTTAGATTGTTTAGTAACTAATTTTACTGGATTGTCCTCCTTTAAACACCCTTCTCCTATACGACGGCTTATTTCCTTAACAAGTTGACGAAGCTCTTCTGTACGTTTATCTTTTGCATCAGGATTCAATGAAGTGTTTGTAAAATTGTTACTTACAGAAGCTTTCAATTGTTTTTCTTTTCCAGTATCATAATCTACCTTCTCATTATCATCATCATCATCATCTTCAACATCACTGTCACTACTAATCTCCGCATGTAAATGTGATGATTTGCTTTGCAATGGATTATCTTTCAGTTTTTTAGCAAGTTTATCAAATCGGTTCTCGGTAAACGAATTAGTTAGTGTATGTCCCATGCCTTCCGATTGTAAATATAAAGCCGTTTCTGGCATTTGTACATACGATTCATCGTTAAAATTTAATAATTCTTGAAGATCGTTTGTTTTGAAGAAACGCTGTTGACGTGGATTTTTAAGAATTCGATTAGTAAGAAATTGTTTGAATATTTGTCTATTTCATAAAAATCAAATCAACGAAAAAAACCCAGAAAATTACAAATAATTTCTAAACTGATTAATTAGCTAATCTCTTTGAAATTAAAACAAAACAAATTATTGCGGAGTAAAGGATACATAAGTGCCAAATTATGAAAAAAAAATTTTCTTTGAAAGTAATAAATAACATGGTCAGTTTTATTTTTCAAAAAAACTATGACACCAAAAATATCGATTGCAATAACAATAAATTGTTCCCTAATAAATATACAACCTAAGAAGTATACATCAGTGTAGACAAACATTTTAACCATTTCAAATTCTTATCCTTCATAAAACAACGTAAAAAGCAAACGATAAATACCAATAACATGATGAAACACCATAAGAGAAAAAAAGTAAGGGAAAGTTTACTTATATGACCAAAACTCACAGTTAATCATTTCATAGACTGATGTAGTGGACTTGTTGATGTGATTCAGTTCATAATTAAAGAACGGTGTTAGACAAGTTTCTATCTCACATGTTTTTATACACCTCTGCTAGCAGAAACTTTTACCAGATAATTTACAACATAACTGTAAAGCATATGGCTTTTTTATGCAAAAAGTAGCTGGTCTTAACTACGAACAATAGTAAGATTGCAAAGCTGCAAAATAATTATTTGACTTTTAAAGTTTTTTCTGTTAATTCTTAAAGCTAGTGTCACTATATGACTTTAGATACACAATTTGTCTGCTGAACTAAAAACTACATGCACCTCAGTTATACAGTTGATGATAATAACCATTTTGCTATTCAAATAGAATTAAAAAACAATTATTCAATGTTAGACGTACAGTGATAAACTAGAAATATTATTTTTCATATTTAATGATACTTACCTATGATATATTTTTTCTTCAATAGTACCACTAGTCAACAAACGATAAATAACAACATCACGTGATTGTCCAATACGCCATGCTCTTTCACGAGCTTGTAAATCAGTAGTAGGATTCCAGTCTGGATCATAGATAAGTACTCTATTAGCTGAAGTTAAATTCACACCTAAACCACCAACACGTGTAGTTAACAAGAATACAAATATATCCAAATAATCTGATGTCCTGTCTATTTTCTCACTATCTGATGATGAACGATAATTAAAACGCCGAATAAGTTCATGACGTTGGTTAATAGGAGTAGTTCCATCCATTCTAAGATAAGAAAACTTCATCAGTTGTACTAAACGTTCTAGTAGTGTAAGCATCTAATAAAAATCGCAAAGTATAGGGAGGAAAATTATTTTCGATAACTGCTTTTAAAAAAACTGAAAAATGAAGCCTATGAACTGAAACGAAAGCTAAACAAATAACCAATAATATACGAGACAGAAAAACAACAGAACATACGTAATATATGCAAAATGTTAAGAGATTACACCTAAAATTTCTTTAGGCAATGGACTTATGCACCAAGCATGAAAATATGTCGTATAAAAAAATTTTGAAAATGAATTCTAGCAAGAAAAAAGCGATAACTAAATAAGATGAGATGCGTCACGTGATTTTTACGACTGCAGAATTAGTTTACGGCAGGAGAAAAAGTTGAATAGATTGAACTCGGGTTATTATGTGGTAAAGAGATTCAGCAATAAGGAAGGTAAAGACGAATTTTCCAGTGTAATCGAATGCACGAAATGTTAATACAATGTTGGGCTATCGCAACAATGAATTCACTTTCGCGTTTTTGCAGTAAACCTCCAGATTATATCTGCGTTAAGAATCCTTGTTAGAAACGATACATTACTGATCTAGTGGAATAAAATCTTTAGACTGAACAGAGATTGTTGATGTTACTGTTTGATTAGAAGAGTCGATAAATACAGATTTCGTAGAAACTTGGACAGACATATGGTATTCAATAAAACGGATTAGGTACGTTTGTCAATAATAAACATTTTAAATCTAGTAGTTGATAAAAGTTAAAATTGACAGATAGACCAAATGTTATGCGATTCAAAAGCGATTAATGTCTAACGTTTTCTAAGAATAAATTCATACCACAGTAATTTGAACATAAAACTCTAGTATACAAAAAACAAGAAGATCTTCATATTGAGCAAGTGCTTTTATTAGAGTTAACAACTCAGTAGCAATGAACGCGGATAAATTTAATGTTAAATGACGAGTTATTTATTTCAACTTTAACAATCATTGCGTAATATTAACAAATATAACATTAAACGTATTAAGTAGTAAAGTTCTTTTTAAAAAAAAACATCAACGTACCCGACGACTTTGTGAAAACAATAAAACTTTATGTCCTTGATCATACCAATTTTTAAGAAGTGAAGCAACAACTAACATTTTACTAGATCTTCGTGGGCATCCAAATCGTGACCATGAATAAGATAAGCATACATCTTCAATACCTTGTTTATCAGATTCAAATTCTTCATTTAAAAAACAACTATCTCTTGGACCACCTGTAGCTAAATCTGGATGATTGCATAAATTTCTTAACAGTATTAGAGAAGGAAAAATCTAAAAAAAATATATATGCAAATTAAATAATCTACAATTACTTTACCTCAGTTCATACAACTACTACTGAAAAAAAAATAGAATCTTAGATAGCTCAGTGGCAACATGCATAGAGAGCATTAGTTCTCTGAAGACTGCGCACATGACCTGAATTGATAAGTGGCAGGTGAGAGCAGGTTATCCTGACAACCGCCTTCGATCCATTCGCATAATAATGCATTTGAATGGATCTCAATATTTGAAATACGTTCATTTTAATTGGACAGTTATCATATTACACCTTTATGTTGCTTATCTGGTTTTTATTACATTAAATCTCATTAGGTGTTATAGAGGTGTTTGGTACCACGAACTAATGAGAGTAGTGAGGGTGATATTTCCGGAAGATTACATTTAACCGGAAAGAGATAGGTGTGAAAAATGATTACTTAAAAGTTACGCACAATAACTTATATAACTGTGATATGTTTTGTCACTTAGTATGCTTGAGGCTATTACGAGTTTACCTTAGTCGATAAACGCGAACGAGACTTTTACCAGCTTCCAGGAAGGCTACCTTGAATCCAAACGGGAAAACAGAAGTCTTGGTAAGAGTAGAAAGTATATTCTACAACCACCCAGCAATCCAGTACAATCAAGCACACAACTCTCGTTTATTTATACAACATAACAACGTCCTTGAGACAGTTAAGAAAATAGCATACTAAAATACACTGTAGCCAATCACAGCCATTGATTTTCCTGGTGGGAATTGAAATCTCAAGGTCATTTGATCAGCCCCTGCTGGCGAAACGTAAAAACCAAAATACGGCATTATCATGCGAATTTTGGGGATCTAACATCCCCAACACTCCTCCCCTTTTTAATAGCTTGTTCTCCTGGGGTCGACTTGCATCTTGACTATTGTTCGCCGCTGTCTGAGGGGATACCTTCGGGAACGAAGAACAGCTTGCTGCTGAGTTTCTTCTCGTGGCGGGGCTCTCGGTAGGTTGAAGGTATCAAGCAAGATGTCAAGGGGAAGGCTTTCTGCTCTTGATGGGCGATCTGGGGCTAGCCGTCTGCGTATCTGATTGCGATGACGTGACCATTTATCACCTCCTACCTCTACTTCGTACATAACTCGACCAACCCTTCTGACCACTCTCGCTTCTACCCAAGGACCATGGTTCGTTCTGTAGTCGCGGGCAAACACAGGGCATCCTACTTCGTAAGCGGATTGTCTTTGCTGCTTTGTCTTTACTGATGAGGGTGCATTAGTCGGATGCATCAGGCTGTGGATCGTTTTCAATCTTCTTCCCATCAGGATTTCAGCTGGGGACTTTTGCTCCGGTAACAATTCATTTGGTGTTGTCCGATAGACGTACAAGAAATTTTGTAACGTTTCGGCTGGCGTCCCCTCCCCTTTTGACTTGAGCAGTGCTCTTTTAAACGTATCCACAAACCTTTCCGCCTGCCCATTCGATTGCGGGTGGTATGGTGGCGAGCGTAAGTGTTTAATAGCTAGCCGTTGACAGAAATTCTGGAATTGGGAAGAGGTGAATTGAGAGCCATTGTCGGATACGATCACATCTGGTATGCCATTTCGTGAGAAAATTTCAGTTAGGAGCTGTATAGTCTTAGTTGTAGTGGGCGGCATAACGGGGCTGATTTCCGGCCATTTAGAAAAGGCGTCGACGACAATTAAATACATAGTTCCATTTATTGGGCCAGCGAAGTCGACATGTATCCTGGACCAAGGATGCTCAGGTTTGGGCCATGAAACCGGCGGAATTTTGGCATTCATCTTTGCCGCCTGCTGACACCGGATGCATTTTTCAACCAACGCTGTGACATGTTGATCCATGTGAGGCCAGTATGCATAACTCCTGGCTATGGACTTCATTCGTTTAATCCAAGGATGACCAAGATGGAACTGTCTCAGCACTTTTGCACGAAGGGATGCTGGAACCACTACTCTTTCACCAAACATGAGACAATCGTTCACGATGCATAGTGAATTCCGCCGCTGATACAGTTGCTTGATGTCACCTTCAAACTTTTTCGACGGCCAACCTTTAGTGACATATTTCATCGTCATCTTGATGATGGGGTCGTTTCTAGAAGCATTTTGTATGTCTGTTGCAGACACCGGTAATGCGCGAACTGCGGTTGTCAGATCACATTCTGCGTGGTCTTCTACTGACAGAGATGCGATCACCATGTTTTCCTCAGCCGCCACTTGATCATTAATGAGTCGTGACAAAGCGTCTGCTTGACCGAATTGTAGAGTGCGTCGATATTGGATTTCGAAATCATACCCCAAAAGTACCAAGGCCCATCGCTGGAGACGATTTGCAGAATGGGCTGGAATGCCAGACTTTGAACCAAATATTGCTAACAGAGGCTTGTGATCTGTGAGGAGCGTGAATCTCCGACCGTACAGAAACTTATGGAGACGGCGAACAGCAAACACAAGGGCAAGAGCTTCTTTCTCTATCTGGCTATACTTCTTTTCTGCTGGGGTCAGTGTACGGGATGCATGCATAACGGCTTTTTCTGACGCGTCTGGAAACTGATGTGAAATAACAGCACCTAGGCCATATGCTGAAGCGTCTGCTGCTACGATGATCGGCATGGATGGATCGTAGTGTGTTAATAACAATTCCGAGCTAATTATAGACTTGAGTTTACCAAAAGCCGCGTCACACTCTTTAGTCCAGTTCCATGTGCTATGCTTCTGCAGTAGACAATTCAATGGAGCGCGAATATCATGCATCGAGGGAACAAAAGCTGAATAATAACTGATCAAACCGAGAAAAGATCGTAATTCGGAAACATTAGTGGGAGTAGGCATCAGTTTGATAGCTCGGATGTTCTCAGGATCCGGTCTGCGACCGTCGGCATCTAAGATGAATCCCAAATACTTTACCGACTGCAATAGAAACTGGCATTTTTCTGGGCGTAACCGGAAACCATTGTCACTGATGCGTTGTAGTACCAATGTCGTGCGTTCCCGTAGCTGTTCTAACGTCTTCGCAACAATCAAGATATCATCGAGATAAGCTGCAACCCCTGGGATATCTGACAGGATTGTATCCATTAGTTGTTGGAAGATAGACGGCGCAGTCTTAACTCCAAAAGGTAGACGGTTATATTGAAACAAACCGCGGTGAGTGTTGATAGTAAGCAGTTCTTTAGATGCTTCATCGACTTCCACTTGCAAATAAGCATCAGCTAGGTCAAGCTTTGCGAAGAACTTTCCTCCATTCAGCATAGTGAACAGATCTGCTGGAACTGGCAGAGGATAATGATGCTGTTCTAGAGCTGCGTTGAGACCTGTAGAGAAGTCAGCACATCCCATCCCCGTCGCCACTGATATGTTTTGTCACTTAGTATGCTTGAGGCTATTACGAGTTTACCTTAGTCGATAAACGCGAACGAGACTTTTACCAGCTTCCAGGAAGGCTACCTTGAATCCAAACGGGAAAACAGAAGTCTTGGTAAGAGTAGAAAGTATATTCTACAACCACCCAGCAATCCAGTACAATCAAGCACACAACTCTCGTTTATTTATACAACATAACAACGTCCTTGAGACAGTTAAGAAAATAGCATACTAAAATACACTGTAGCCAATCACAGCCATTGATTTTCCTGGTGGGAATTGAAATCTCAAGGTCATTTGATCAGCCCCTGCTGGCGAAACGTAAAAACCAAAATACGGCATTATCATGCGAATTTTGGGGATCTAACATCCCCAACAAACTGACTAGTCACAATCCTACAAAAATGTTACGAGAATGAAAATATATTGTTACCAAAAAAAATAATGAGATTAGTTAATAATGTTTAAAGGTTAGAAAATTTTTGGAATGATTTATACAATTGTTATCAAATTTAGGCTGTTTTCTAACAGCTTTCAACCACCGATTTAAAAATATTTCAATAACTGCCGCCTTTTTCGTTGAACTAGTCGTTCATTAAATTAGCGCATTGAATATTATATTTTAATCTAATCATTTGAATTCATATGTTTTAAATTCACTTCCAACTCAGATTCTAAAACATATCAACGTTGTCAAACGATAAACATGTTTAACGATTTCATTGTTCATCTTAGTCAATCTAAGTCTACAATATAGTCGTCGACTGATCTACTTTCTTTAAAAAAGTAACCACCCTCCCGACAATGCCTTGAATTTATCATCCCTTTGTTGTGGAGTATAATGTAAGTATCGACCGCCGACGAATAACACAGAAATTGTCAAATAGGGCAACAGGCATCCTTAGCTAGGACTTTAGATACTCGTGCCATCGATGTATGCTGCGTCTCGGAAACGCGCATACAGGATCCTAGTAAAATTATTAATCTGATTTCACCTTGTCAAAATAAAGAAGCAGCTCGATTTACACTTCGTGTATCCGTTAGCCCGAATGCTGCTTCCAGGGGTCTTGCTGGCGTAGGTATAGCATTGAGTCGTAGAGCTGAACAATCTCTCCTTGACTGGATCCCAGTAGATAGTCGCTTGTGCGCTGTCCGACTAAACGGGACAGTAAGGACTCGGAAAGATAGGGACAATCGCCGTTGCCTCTTCATCGTATCTGCCTATGGCCCCCACTGACTGCAGTTCAGACGAGGTTAAAGATGAGTTTTACAGAAAGCTTACGGAAATCCTCCAAAAAGCTAAGCGCTCTGATATAGTATTAATGGCTCGTGACTTTAATGCTCAAGTAGGTAGACTAAGTGAAAATGAAAGACAACTAGGTGGATGTTATGGTGTCGCGGCTCAGAGAACAGACAATGGTGACCGTCTGTTGCAAGTATGCTCAGACAACCGCCTATTCTTAGCAAACACTAACTTTAGGCATAAGGAAAAGCATCTGTTGACCTGGCGACCCCCGAAGTCGTCTCAACGTTGGACTCAACTAGATCACATCGCCATCAGCCACCGATGGAGGGGTTCGATAGAGGACTGTCGCTCGTTCTGGGGCACATGTTTGGATTCAGATCATGCCCTAGT